AGGCAAAGCAGTTCACACACCAGGCCTTATTAAGAGCAGAGACCACTAGAGAAAGAGGAAAGAGATCTGGTCACATGGAAATACATCCTTATGGGGAGCAGGGCAGCTCAGAATTTCAACTCTAAAACAGAACTACGACTGTGTCTGTGGCACTTGGTGGAGGTTCTCAATAACCTTTTTTTTAAAAAAAAAAAAAAAATGAGACAGGGTCTTGCTCTATTGCCCAGGCTGGAGTACAGTGGCACAATCATGGCTCACTGTAGCCCCAACCTCCCAGGCTCAAGTGATCCTCCCACCTCAGCCTCCTGACTAACTGAGACTACAGGTGCACGCCACTAAACCTGGCTAATTTTTTTTTTGATACGGACTGTTGCTCTGTTGCCAGGCTGGAGTGCAGTGACGCAATCGCAGTTCACTGCAACCTCCGCCTCCTGGGTTCAAGTGATTCTCCTGCCTCATTTTCTTGAGTAGCTGGGACTACAGGCGTGCGCCACCATGACCAGCTAATTTTTGTATTTTTAGTAGAGACAGGATTTCACCATGTTGGCCAGGATGGTCTCGATCTCTTGACTTTGTGATCCGCCCGTCTTGGCCTCCCAAAGTGCTGGGACTACAGGCGTGAGCCACTGCGCCCGGCTTATACCTGGCTAATTTTTGTATTTTTTGTAGAAACACAGTTTTGCCATGTTTCCCAGGCCAGTCTTGAACTCCTGGGCTCAAGCAATCTCCCTGCCTCAGTCTCCCAAAATGCTGAGATTACAGGCATGAGCCACCATGCCCAGCCAAGATCCTCTTTCTTGAGAGCTGCTTTTCTTTTGTTTTTCAGACAGGGTCTCGCTCTGTTGCCCAGGCCGTACTGCAGTGGTGTGATCACAGCTCGAACTCCTGGGCTCAGGCAGTCTTCTCATCTCATCCTCCTGTGTAGCTGGGACCACAGGTGTGTGCCACCATATCTGGCTAATTTTTTATTTTTATTTTGTAGAGATGGAGGTCTTGCTATGTTGCCCAGGCTGGTCTTGAACGCCTGGCCCCAAGAAATTCTCCTGCCTTGGCCTCCTTAAGTGCTGGGATTACAGGTGTAAGCCACCACACCCGGCCCTCAACCTTTATGTATACAGTTGTTGCTCAGTATGTGCAGGATGCTGTTTCTAGGATGCCTTGAGGATACCAAAATCTCAGATGCTCAAGTCCCTGATATAAAATGCATATAGCAGCTTTCCAGCTTGGACCCGGCAGAATGGCTCCCGCAAAGAAGGGTGGCGAGAAGAAAAAGGGCCGTTCTGCCATCAACGAGGTGGTGACCCGAGAATACACCATCAACATTCACAAGCGCATCCATGGAGTGGGCTTCCAGAAGTGTGCCCCTTGGGCACTCAAAAGAGATTCGGAAATTTGCCATGAAGGAGACGGGAACTCCAGATGTGCGCATTGATACCAGGCTCAACAAAGCTGTCTGGGCCAAAGGAATAAGGAATGTCCCATACCGAATCCGTGTGCGGCTGTCCAGAAAACGTAATGAGGATGAAGATTCACCAAATAAGCTCTATACTTTGGTTACCTATGTACCTGTTACCACTTTCAAAAATCTACAGACAGTCAATGTGGATGAGAACTAATTGCTGATCATCAAATACATCAAATAAAGTTATAAAATTGAAAAATAAAATAAAATAAAATAAAATGCATATAGCCTATGTACATTGTCCTGTATACTTTTTTTTTTTTTTCTGAGACGAAGTTTCGCTCTTGTTGCCCAGGCTGGAGTGCAATGGTGTGATCTTGGCTCACGGCAACCTCAAGTGATTCTCCTGCCTCTGCCTCCCGAGTAGCTGGGATTATAGGCATGCACCACCACACCTGGCTAATATTTTGTATTTTTAGTAGAGACGGGGTTTCACCATGTTGGCCAGACTGGTCTTGAACTCCTGACCTCAGGTGATCTGCCCGCCTCAGCCTCCCAAAGTGTTGGAATTACAGGTGTGAGCCACTGCTCCTGGTCCTGTCTCGTATAGTTTAGATCATCTCTAGATTAATTACAATGCCTAGTACAACGCAAATGATATGTAAATAGTCATTATACTGTATTATTTGTATTGTTATATTGTTATTTTTCTCTAAATATTTTTGATTCATAGTTGGCTGAATCCACGGATGTTTGCATCCAGCCGTTGGATACGGAGGGCTGACTTTAATCTTTCCCTGTCCTTAAGTATCCTGTGAAGTTATAAATGTGTGCCATGTCTTACACCAGCAACTGTGCCCCCTAGACCTGGGCACATGTGGCGACTGTCCATGCCTCATGTTGTTTAGGTGAGCTTGCTGTTTCTGTCCCTACTGCTGTTGGCCCAACACGGAAATATGAACTAGGTATATAATTTTCAAAAATCCAGACATTAACTTATTTGCCCCTGTAGGAGTCTTTTTTCCAGAGCTGGTAACAAGACAGCTTCCTTTGCAGCTTCTTTCACCTGGCATCTGTTTCACAGAGGAGGGAGGTAAGTTTTATTTTCAGTGGCACTAAAGATTGTTTTCCTGCGTTGTTTTCACAAACTGCACATGAACAGTGTTTCAAAAGTATTTCCTGAATTAGGTGATGTCTGCAGGGAGCCATGAATCATGCTGAAAACAGGATTGTTCAAAACTTTGCCAGGAAGTCTCTGGCAGAATTGTGTTAGTGACTGTTAGCAAACACAGCTGCTTCCTTTCTGTTCCAATCAATCAGCCCAGCCTAATTACCAAAGTGCATTACCAAAGGGTGGTAAGTCCTAGATATGCTTGCTGATAACTGCCAGGTTTTAGTATATGGAGGTTAAAGTGCCTCTTCCTAACTACAATAGCGGATGAAACCGTTCCTAATAAACGTTGTTGTAGAGTTTCCTGAAACTGGACACAGAAACTAGTCTTAGGGTCCACCAGGGACAGTTCCCATGATTGCTGGCATACAACACTGTGGTAGTGACCGGAAGTAGTATCATAAATCAGTAACAAATCCAACTCTTTGATACTATCATCGTACTGCTACAGAGTACTTGGGAAATACGCCAAAGAAAGAGAAAAAGCAACTGATAACGATCACATTCCAAACAATAGCAATCACCAACCTGAATTTCCACATTACCCTAGTGTTTTTGTGTCAAAGTGGTACGAATCTAAAACTCACACAGATACTTACCATCACCTTCTATAACACGATTGCAGTGGAAGCAAACATCACCAAACAGCTGGAAATACAAAAAGGTGGTCAAAGTTCCAGATGTGTGAAATATTCTAGCACACTGAACATTTCAAAATAGCTGGTTATCTAAATTGAGAGTTTATCACTACTAGAGAAAATTAGTAAAAGTTCTTTGACAAGTTTTTACTTCTTACAATGAAAGTAATTCACTGTCATCAATTAAAAAGAAAAACTTTCCAGATGACAGTTTGAACACCCAAATAAGTAATGCAAAATACAGAAATCTGTGAGTCCATATGGATAAGAAACAGATAAATGAATAAACCTATAGATAGGAGAGGAGGTGGGCTGTTGCTCAGGCAGAGCGCTGAGGTGGAGACTACGGGTGGAGGATGTGGGGCTGGAGAACTGTCGTTTGCAGCTGGCACAGAGACAAGAATCATCAAGGGGTGCTAAATCTAGGGCAGGTTGATGAGGAACAGGACATTTCCATGGTCATAAAATGAATGCCCACAGATTGCTTCTTTCTTACAAAAGAGGGAAGGAAATTGTAATTCATAGTGATGTTATCGGCCAGCACCAAGCCTGGGAGATCACCAGTGGCAGGAGAGGTATAAAGTGCTCCAGAGACAAGGTTCTGAGAGGATGCCTGCCACTGTTATGGGGCTGCAACCTGCTGTGTATAACCTCATCTAAGCACAGAGAAGCAGCAGGTGAACCCAAGTGGAAAGTAGTCTATTAAAAGGGGGTAGGGGCCCTCTGCACCCCTCCAAAATGTCAATGTCATCAAAAATTTGAAAAGGCTCTGGAAATGTTCCAGATTTAAGAAGGCTAAAGAAACATCACAACCCCAGGCTGGGTCCAGTCTGGGAGTGGAAAAAGTGCTGTGAGGATGTTACTGACTCAAGCGACAAAATTGGGATAAATGGGTTGAAGTATGGTATCAATATTGATAACTACGATTACGTTAGAGAGTCCCATATTCTTGGGAAATATACACTGAAGTATTTAGGGGTAAAGGAGTATGACAAACTTATTGGCAAATGCTTTAGAAACAGCCATCATACTTGTATATGATATTTACGTAAGTACGTGTTTTACACAGGAAGACCGAGCGCGGGAAACGATAAAGCGAACTGTGGACTTGAATGAAAGGCATACAGGTATTCTTTGTATTTTCCATTTTATAGTTAGCTTCTGAGTCTGAAATTATTTCCCAAATACAAAGTTAAAAACAAATTTCTACTGAACAATGTGCATCTTCCAAGAGATTTACTTGTAGTTAAACTACTGATAAGCTTAGGTTCATAAAAGTCTATCTGGCACCCAGTGACTAAGGTCAATACCTGGTTATAGTGGGTTTCACAATACGCCAGGCCTTTCCTCTCATAATGGCGATGTCCAAGAAAGGGTTTCTCACACTTGGCGCACACAAAATGCTGAAAGGAAAAACTGCTATAGGTCATTTTTGAATTGCCATATTTTATATCTAATAAAGGAAATCCCGAAGTTAACGTATTTTCAGAGAAGATGAATGAAAGTTTGAGACAGTCATTTCATTTGGCCATAAGTGGCCTCATAATATAATACTTTCGCAGTTTTAATTCAGGTGTCTGTCTTTAAAGGTTACTTTAAGACATAGCCTATTACAATAGGCCAAAAAGAGAACAGAGGTGAGCATCTCAGTAGCACCTATAAAGGACGAGCTGCTGCTGGATATAGACCGTGGCACTTCCTGCTTCAAGAAGGCTTTAGGAGCAAAAGTGCACATCCTGTATCATTACTGAGCCATTCACAAAAGCAGTGTACATTCTATATTCTTAACTGTCAGCAAAGTCAATTGTCTTTAAAATGTCCATGTTTAATCTTTAGACTCTCCTAATCTTGCCAGGACACCTGAATCACAGAGATTTGAAAGTACTAGTTACCCCTGAATCATGAAGATTTGAAAGTATTGGTTACACCTTAATCATGGAGATTTGAAAGAACTGGTTGCCCTTTGCCATTCAGAACTCACCTCCACATGCCACTGCTTGCCCATGGCGTTCACCACGCGCCCTTCAATGGGCCGTCGGCAAGCGCCACAGATGGGGACCCCCATTTTATCATGGCATGGCAGGCAGTACAGCTCCCCTTTCAGCTCCCGTGCATCGGCAGTCAGTTCCTTCCTGTCCGTGAGAAAGACAGCCAGCTTAATACTAATACTAAGAGAGAAAAATGACCAACCGATGGGGCTAGCACACTTTTCAGGTTTTTAAAGACATTACTATGACGATCCCTGCAAACTTCTTTTTCCCCCTTTAGAGGTGATCAGAGTAACCTGAATTAATAGGCCCGAACAGGTTTCAGACTCCTACCAAAAAATCTGTATCTTAAAAGGATAAGATGCAAGACTAGGTCAGATACACACCAACACACCAGGCATATTCATCATTTCCTTCTTATATTATCACATTACATTTTAGTCCATTTGCCTTCCTTTAAAAGCTACAGGGAATAATCACAGTGCTGAGGGTAGACTCAGTACTACTACCTGCTATGGTGTGACTGTGCCCTCCAAAGTTCATGATTCCCAGTGCAGGTGTTGGGAAGTAAGACCTCTAAGGGGTGATTAGATCATGAAGGCTCTGACCTCACGGATGGATTAATGCTGTTATTGAGGGGGTGGGTTCCTTATAAAAGGACGAGTTCAGCCTCCTTCCTTCTCTTCCTTCCCCCCTCTTTTCTTCCCCACCATGTGATGCCCTCTGCTATGTTTTGATGCAGAAGAAGGTCCTCACCAGATGCCAGCCCCTTGATCTTGGACTTTCCAGCCTCCAGAACCATGAGCCAAATACATTTCTGCTGGTTACAAATTACCCAGTTTGTGGTATTCTGTTATAGGCGCATAAAATAGACTAAGACATGACCTTTCCAAGCAAACTGAAAAGTTGGGAGACTAGTTCCATTTACTAACATATTTAAATTGTCACAAGCTGTTGAAAAGAGTTATAGGTTAACAGGTTTATTTTCATAAACAATAAAATTCCCAGAATTTCCTTCTCCAAATACTCAAATTAAATATTATTTTCAGTCTCCTGCATCAATAAACATTTGGTCAGAGATGGTCCCAATTAGTCAAATGGATTTGTTTGAATTTCACCCCTTTTGTGTAATTCTCTAGGAGAGATGCTAATGAAAAGTGGACAGAGGAGAATCCCCCAAAAGGAAGGACAGGTAAGAAAATGAGGTAAGGCACAAACTGATAATTCAATCATAAAAGATGAGATGGCTGAACTTATACGACCAAACTGTTTTCTTTTTTTTCACTTTTTTTAAATGAGACGGAGTCTTGCTCTGTCATCCAGGCTGAAGTGCAGTGGTGCGATCTTGGCTCACTGCAAGCTCCGCCTCCCGGGTTCACACCATTCTCCTGCCCCAGCCTCCCGAGTAGCTGGGACTACAGGTGCCCGCCACCATGCCCGGCTAATCTTTGTATTTTTAGTAGAGATGGGGTTTCCCTGTGCTAGCCAGGATGATCTTGATCTCCTGACCTCGTGATCTACCTGCCTTGGCCTCCCAAAGTGCTGGGATTACAGGCGTGAGCCACCACGCCTGGCCAGTTATTGCTAAGTTTCTCAGGCACAATAAGAGTATTGTGGTTCTGACCAGGTGCAGTGGCTCATGCCTATAATCCCAGCACTTTGGGAGGCCGAGATGGGTGCACTGCTTGAGCCCAGGAGTTTGAGACCAGCCTGGGCAACACAGCAAGACTCCATCTCTACAAAAAATTAAAAAAGGGTGGCATGTGCCTGTGGTCCCAGCTATTCTGGAGGCTGAGGTGGGAGGATTGCTTGAGCCCAGGAGGGTGTGGCTGCAGTGAGCTATGACTGCCCACTGCACTTCAGCCTGGGCAATAGAGCGAGACCCTGTCTCAAGAGAAAAATAAAAAAAATTAAAAATAGTATCGTGGTTCCATAGGAAAATGCCCTTATTCCCAGGAGATGTGTACTGAGAGTCATGAGAAATTTTAGAGGTATGTGTATACATGCACACGCACACACATACACAGGAGGGTGAAATGAGAATGTACTGTATACACACAAGCGTGGCAAAATATTAACTGGTGAAACAATTAAGGGTATACAAGTTTCATTATATCATTCTCTTTAACTCTTCTATAGTTTAACATTTTCTAGACTAAAAATTGGAGAAAAACAATTTGGTTTGCTAGAGTAACAGAACTATAGATAAATGTAGTCTTTCATTCCCACTGCTTGTGTAACAAAAAAGAAACAATTCCAGTACCCGCAGTTGGCACAGTTGAAATGGTCTGGATGGTAGGGGTCGTTCTTGAATATCAGAGGCTGCTCGTCGATGATAGCATGGCATTTCTGGCAGATATATTTCCCAAGGCCTCTCGCTTTCTCACGATTATGACAGGGGCGACACAGGTGTCTAAACAGAGCCAAAACTTACATTTAAAATTTTAGGTTCTTTCTAATGGTTAAAAAGAAATATGCTTCCCTTATCTCTGGAAAGAAATTAAGCACACCATTTCTTAAAAAAATCACTCCTGTGCTTAACAGAGCAGAATCAAGCTACACGAAAATTGTGTTCCAACCCTAATATCTGACTGATTTTCATGAAACTCCATCTAGGCACATCCCCCGTTGGTAGTTCAGCCATGCATGGAGCAGTTATGCCCTGTGCACAGCAATGCAAGGGTCCCCTCCCAGCAGCAGCACTCAGTCAACACACTGCAGTGTCTGAGTTCCCATGCCCTCAATTCGGTGTCCTACAGAACTGCCTTACATCCCGCGTGGAGAAGACACGTGATCTTGTCACAGTCACATTATCCACCCACATCTGACAAGGATGAAAATCCACCTACCTCCCAGCATTCTTGACAAAGCCGATATCCGCCAGAACTTCCTGGCAGAGGTCACAGCGGAAGCACTCTGGATGCCAGCTGTTATTCATGGCTTTGATAACTCGGCCAATGATGAATTCACCTGTGGGAAAGCAACACACAAAGGATGTTACTAAGTAACAAGCATGGTACTTTATTTACTAAGAGAGCAATTAAGGAAAAACACTGAGGAAAAAAAACCATTTAAGCCTTTCTCAACAAAGGATTTTTTTTTTTTTTTTTTTTTTTTGAGACAGAGTTTCGCCCTTGTCGTCCAGGCTGGAGTGTAATGGCGCCATCTTGGCTCACTGCAACCTCCACCTCCTGGGTTCAAGCGATTCTCCTGCCTCAGCCTCCCAAGTAGCTGGGATTACAGGCACGCGCCACCACGCCCGGCTAATTTTGTATTTTCAGTAGAGATGGGGTTTCTCCATGTTGGTCAGGCTGGTCTTGAATTCCCGACCTCAGGTGATCCTCCCGCCTTGGCCTCCCAAAGTGCTAGGATTATAGGTGTGAGCCACCACACCTGGCCAGTAGAGGAACTTTTTATTTATGTGTCTACCAGAGTAAGCACATTAGAAAAAAAGTTTTTATTTCATCTGAGTTTTTGTTTTTGATTCAGTAGCCACGTTTTTGGGCTGTTTTGTTTCATCTCTCAATCTAGTTTTCCTTTCCAAATGAGGTACTGGGCTGTCTTGAATGCCTTTTGGTTATTTCTGTCATTGTCAACATAGACAACTGAAATCTCCAGCACAGTTTCTTATAACCCATACTTAATTTATTCTTTCATTAAACCTTTAGAACATTCTACTCAGTTCCTTCAATCTCTGGAAACCTAGCAGAGGGATTAGCAACCAGTGAAGTGGACAACATGCAAGCAAGTCCATTGCTTATGCACCGTGCAAGCAACGCTGAAGCATCCCTAAGCATCAAAAGCACCTCACTGATGTCTTCCCTACCTCTTTCCTGGCAAAACCAAAAGCAAATAGATAAAGGTTGTGTTAACACAGGAAAAGAACAATCCTAATCGCCACCCGATAGGAGTCCTAGTTCATCCCAAAATACCTCTACCTTAAATGTCCTTAAAAATCAATTCTCTCTAGGTTTTGATACTCCTCCAGTTTGTTATATATTAACAATAGGGAAGAGGAGTGATGAAGTATCCAACAGTTACTCATAATGAGCACCAAAAACCATCTTTAGCATTGATACTTCACCAGTGTGAAATGACTTAAGGAATTTGGAAACTTATTTTTTTTTTCCCCAAGATGGAGTTTTGCTCTGTTGCCCAGGCTGGAGTGAAGTGGCCCAATCTGGGCTCACTGCAACCTCTGCCACCTGGGCTAAAGCAATTCTCCTGCCTCAGCCTCTTGAGTAACTGGGATTACAGGCACCTGCCACCACGTCCAGCTAATTTTTGAATTTTTAGTAGAGATGGGGTTTCCCCATGTTGGCCAGGCTGGTGTCAAACTCCTGACCTCAGGTGATCCTCCTCCCACCGCCTCCCAAAGTGCTAGGATTACAGGTGTGAGCCACCGTACCCGGCCGGAAACTTACTTTTTACTTGACGTTCAGCAGTAAAACTTACCACACTGATGACAGCAAGGGGCAAAGAGCATCTGAAAGTCATGTTCACAGTACTTTCTTCCTTCAAACTGAAAGAGAGGGTACCACCAACTTACAAACAAGAAATAATCACAGGAGAAATATAATCATTTGATGGAGATATACAGGAAAGGTGTTTCCGAGCTAAGAGTTTATAACTCCACCGGGATTTAGAAAAGCAGATACACTTTTGCACCATCCATACATCTGCATGTTGGTACAGGAAAGACACGTGGAATGAGCTGAGGCCAGAGTGACTAGTACACCTACAGGGATGGTGACCCGGCCTCTGACTGCGCTGAATTGTTTTCTGGCTCAAATACCCTGCCTTTAATGAATCTGATGAAAGCTAGGGATCACCTCTCCCTCCAGAAAATATGCACATACATACAACTCACTTCCCACATTTTTTAGGTCGATATCTGTAATTCTCACTGTAACCTTAAATATTTACAAAGGGCAAATATTCTAGCACATTGTACTTTATTTATTTATTTATTTTAAATGGGAGTCTTGCTATGTTGCCTAGACTGGTTATTGGACTCCCGGCCCAAAGCAATCCTCCTACCTCAGCCTCTCAAAGCACTGGGACCACAGGCGTTAGCCAGTATGCTCAGCCCCAGCACATTTTAAAATGACCAAAATCCATTAAAAAAAATCCTTTTAACAGCCGCAATTTTTACATCTTTCATTTCTTGAACTGTTTCCATTTCATGTCCTCCAATTTTATCCGAGTATATTTTTTGTACTTGTCTTTAACTGATCGCCCTGCCATACTTTTCTGCAATTAAAAAAAAAAAAAATATATATATATATATATACACAAAAACCATGAAATTTTAAAATGTGCTTTCTGAATCCATAAGGCTGTAAAGGTTAACATTTATTTTCTTCTGTATTATCATTACAATGATTAGTACAGGACAAGCAAGACATAAATATTAATTTTTTAATACTATCTGTTTACTTGAAAAGCATATCTTAGTGATAGTGAAATGAGTAGGGCTGCCCTTTCCTCCTACAATTATTTCATGTATCTCATGCATCAATATGGTTTTCCACTAGAAGACTCAGGTTCAATATTAATTCTAGATCTATTTTCTATTTTGGGTGTTGCTTTTTAAAAAATATATATAAATGCTAAGAAGCCTTTTTCATATTACCAAGTCGTGAGACTTGTTATAGTACTGTCTCCCCTTGAGTCTTTGAGCTCCTTACAAGTTATATGTCAAAAGTCACACACTGTTTGATTATCAAAATCCATTTTTAATGATATCCATTTTTAATGTATCACTTGTCAACTCAATTTCCTCAAATTATGGCTATAGATTTAGTTCATCCAATTTAGTGAACATATCTACCACAGCTTAACTGGCAAAGTCAGTTCTTACTATTGAACCAACCAAAGCAGATTTTCTCCTAGAAAAATAACTTTTTTCCCCCCAGAGTCTCACTCTCTTGCCCAGGCTGGAGTGCAGAGGTACAATCTTGGCTCACTGTAACCTCTGCCTCTTGGGTTCAAGCGATTCTCCTGCCTCAGCTTCCTGAGTAGCTGGGATTAGAGGCACCCGCCACCACATCCAGCTAATTTTTGTATTTTTAATAGAGACAGGGTTTCACCATGTTGGCCAGGCTGGTCTTGAACTCCTGACCTCAAGTGATCCGCCCGCCTTGGCCTCCCAAAGTGCTGGGATTACAGGTGTGAGCTACTATGTTCAGCTTTCACTTAATTCAAATTAATAAGCTGTCATATATTTACTGTATCTTTTTGTTTTTAGACTAGGTCTTGCTGTGTTGTTCAGGCTTGTCTTGAACTCTTGGGCTCAAGTGATCCTTCCACATCAGCCTCTTGAGTAGCTGGGATTACAGGCACACACTACCTTGACCAGATTAATGTATCTGGTTTTTAAAGTTTATTAACAGAGGAGAATAAATTGATATGCTATTACTCATACTCTGCCATACTACATTATAATGTGAAGTCAAAAGTACAAGTATTTATGAAGTGTGATATATTTCTGATAAATGTATGCCATCTATGTGTATAAAAATCTGATGCTTAGCTTTTAGCAGTAATTCACGGAACTACCATATGATCCAGCAATCTCACTACTGGGAATATATCCAAAGGAAATAGAATCAATATGTGGAAGAGATTTCTGCACTCTCATGTTTACTGCAGCACTATTCACAATAGCCAAGATTTGGAAGCAACCTAACTGTCTATCAACAGATGAATGGATAAAAAAAATATGGTACATATACCCAGTGTACTCCTCTTTGGCCATACAAAAGAATGAGATCTTGTCATCTGTAGCGACATGGATGAACCTGGAGGACGTTACATTAAGTGAAATAAGCACTGAAGGACAAATACTACATGATCTCACTCATATGTGGAATCTAAAGAGGTTGATTTCATGGAAATAGTAAGATAGAGGCTGCCAGAGCCTGGGGAGAATGGAGTGGAGAGCATGGGGAGAAGATGGTCAATGGGTACAAAGTTACAGTTAGGATGAGTAAGTTCTAGTGTTCTATTGCACAGTAGTGTGACTGTGGTTAATAATAGTGCATTTCAAAATAGCTATTTCAAAATAGCTAGAAAAGGGGTATTCTGAATGTTCTCACTACAAAGAAATTATAAATGTACGAGGTGATGGATATGTTAAATACCCTGATTTGATTTTTACACAATGTATACATGTATTGAAACATCACACTGTGCCTCATATGTGTAATTATTATGTCAGTTAGAAACAAACAAACAAACAAACAAAACGACCACAAAACAGCCTTCTGTATCTGCTGGGTCTGCATCCTTGGATTCAATCAACCAAGGATAAAAAAATATGTGGAGGGAAAAACCCCAAACAATAAAAAATACCACTAGAAAAATAAAAATAAGACAAATTTAAAAACACAGTATAACAACTATTTACAGAGCATTTACATTTCATTAGCTATTATAAGTAATCTAGAGGTAATGAAAAGTATAAGGAGGATGTGCATAGGTTATATAAAAATAAGTACACCATTTTATATCAGGGACTTGAGCGTTCGAAGATTTTGGTAAACTCTGAGGGTGAGGTGGGAGTGGGGTGGAGGGGGTGTCCTGGAACTAGTCCTCTGTGGACACCATAAGACAACTGTATAAAAACTCAGAAATAACTCCATTAATTTAGTTAGAAATGATCAACTTTTATTCTGTATTAAATGAAAGAGAAAGATGCATATTGCATAAAAACACAAAAAAGTAGCCCAGCAGTTAACATATATATATATATTAGAAGGTGTGTATATATATATATATAGATATAAAATATATATATATATATTTTGGAAGGTTGAAAATATAATCCCTGGCTAAGATAAAATAAAATTAGGATTAGCTGTAATTTGGAAACACCTTTTAACAAGACAGGTAGGAGTCAAGAACACTGACCATGGATCCAGACTGCCTGCGTTCAAGATCTGACTGAAAGACTCATTCAAGTTGCTTAACCTTTCAGGGCCTCCCAAGAGTCAAAAAGCGATAATGCTTTGGTCTGTTTGCTCTAGCTCATGGCATGCCCTCACTGGGACATTGTGAAATACATATTTGGTCTTCCTCCCAGTTTCTTGGCATAGAACTCCTAAAATCCTTGGAATCTTAAAAGTGATGTCTTTTTATATGTTAATGAGGTGACTCATGACTGGCAGCCCCTGGGTAGATTCAGGATGGGACTGGGTTACCAGAAAGACCAAGGCAGACTTAGATGGTTGGGGTTTTCAGCGCCACCCTCCAGCCTTCAGGGAAGGCAGAGAGGAGCTGAAGGTTAAGTTGATCACCCATGGCCAAGTGTTTAATTAATCATGCCTACATAATGAAGCCTCCGTAAACATGTGAAAGGACAGGTGCAGACAGCTTCTGGACAGCTGAACACAGTGCAGTTTCCCAGAGGGTGGTGGAGCCAGAGAAGGTGCGGAGGCTCTGACCACCTTCCCCCATATACCTCACCCTATGTATCTCTTCATCTGTATCCTTTGTAATATCCTTTTTTAAAATTTATTTTTATGTATTATTATTATTATTATTTTTTCAGAAACAGGGTCTTGCCCTGTTTTTCAGGCTGGAGTGCAGTGGCATGAGTATAGCTCACTGTAGCCTCCAACTCCTGGGCTCAAATGATCTTCCCACCTCAGCCTCCCAAGTAGCTGGGACTATGTGTGTCATCATGCCTGGTTAATTTTGTTATTTTTTGTAGAGACGGGATCTCACTATGTTGTCCAGGCTACTCTTGAACTCCTGGCTTCAAGCAATCCTCCCACCTGAGTCTGTCGAAGTGCTAGGATTACGGGTGTGCTCCACCATGCCTGGCTGGTAATATTGTTTATAATAAACTGGTAGAGCCAGGCATGGTAGCATGTGCCTATAGTCCCAGCTACTGGGAAGGCGGAGGCAGGAAGACTGCTTGAGTCCACGAGATGGAGGCTGCAGTGAACTGTGATTGTTCCACTGCACTCCAGTTTAGGCGACAGAGCTTGGCCTTGTCTCAAAACAAACAAACAAACAAACAAACAAAATACTAATAATAAACCAGTAAACGTGTTTCCCTGAGCTCTATGAGTTGCTCTGGCAAATTAACAGAACCAGAAGAGGGGGCTGTGGGATCCCCAATTTACAGAGCATGTCAGCCAGAAGTACAGAGAAAGCAATCTGGGGCTTTCCATTGGCATCAGAAGGAGAAGACAGTCCCTGTGGCTGACCCCTCAATATGTGGGATCTGAGGCTATCTCCAGGTAGATAGTGTGGGAATTGAATCAGAGAACGCCCAGCTGGTGTCCACTGCAGAACTGATTGCTTGCTTTGTGTGTGGGGAAAAATTTCCATACATTTGGTCACAGAAGAACTTCTGTGGTGACTGTCGTGGTGTGCAAGCAGAAGAAAAATGGTTTGTGTTTTCTATCCACCTCATTCACAATTTCTTACCAATGCTCTTTGCTTTGCTCTCCCAGAGTTTTCTCTTAAAAAGGATGAATTCTTCTGAAATTTAGTCAGGGGATGTAGTCA